AAAGACCATAATGAATTTGCGAAAAAAAAACAAAAAAATTGACTTTAGGTTGTGTTCTGTACGAAAGTTATACCACTTTTTTAAAAAGAATGATTGTTTTTTTTTAATATGATTCAAAAAGAAGGGAGAAAGGTCTGATATACTTCTCAACTTTGTTATTTAGAGCTGATATACCCCTCGTTATAAAATTGGCTCATATATACCGCTACTTGTAAATAAATGGCCCACATATACCCTTTTCCTCTAACGGAAATGGAAAAAAAAATAATTTTAATCTAAATTTTTATTATTTTTTTCTAAAAAATATAATCCCATAGGAGTAAATTTAATCTTTGTCAAACATATTTTTTTTTGACTTTTTTTGTTTTAATGACTAATTTGTAATTATTATTTTGATAATCAAATTTATTTATGTTTTACTAATATTATTGTAAAACTTATTATAGATGACCAAATTTTTTCTTCAAATACGAAATTAAATTACAATACACACAAAAAAACAGTTTAAATTTTTTTTCTTTAAACTAAGGAATGAAAGAAAAAATAAAATAAGAATAAGAAACTCAAATAATTATAATAAAAGAAGTCAAAAAATAATTTATGTATGAAAAAAATTAAAATATATCTTGAACTTTGATAAAAAAATCATATATACCCCTAAATAATTTTTTTAAAAAAATTAGAAGTAACAAATATAAATTTAAAATTAATTTTTTAATTTCCGTTAAATAAAGAGTATATGTGAGCCATTTTGTAACGGCAGGGGTATATGTGAGCCGTTTGTATAACGGTAAGGGCATATATGAGCCACTTTTATTACGAGGGGTATATCAGCTCTAAATGACAAAGTTGAGGGGTATATCAGACCCACTTTTAAGTAATAATTTTTCAAGTGGCGAGTTTAAGATTACAAGATTAAAGGATAATTTTATACATTTAATATAATATTAAGGCCTTATTTGTTGCTCCTAATGGAGGTCTGAATCTTAATCATTCAGATTCAGCGTTTGGTTTTTAAATCTGAATCTGAATCATTCAATTTAATCCATTAAATTTATTTATTTTATTTTAAAAAAAAACTCTTAATGGGTCTGAAGATATCTGAACGAATCAGATCTGTAGGAGACTCTTTAACAACATTCATACTCATTTAATAAGTTATCAAATAATAAATCATCGATTCTCTACTTTAAGCATATCTTTTTATCTCATAACTAAAAATTTTCTTTTTCTCTTTTCTCAATCAAACACCATTTTCCCCCCTCTTAAACTGGTAAGTTTCCATAAATCCTTTCAAGTTTTTTTTTTATATTAATAATTTTCTTGTATTGACTGCGCCAAGAACACTTTTGGTGTATTGGTGTAATGGTGTTTATCAAAGTTTTTGAAGAAAGAAATTATACTCCAAATCATGATTATTAAAACTTTTATACCTTTTTTTTTATAATAAAAAATAGGGGTGGACATAAATGTCGAAAAACCAAAAATCGAACCGAACAAAAAAAAATTATTTTTTTGATGTCTGTTCTTCGGTGTTTCGGTTCGTTATCGGGTTTTGTCGAAATTTTGATTCTTCAGTTCAAAATTCGGTATAAGGGTCCTGAAACTACGGTGCACCGAAAAACCGAAGTTTATTTAATAAATTCAAAATATTTAAATTATATTACTTAATTTATAATATTTTATTCATTCACCTTGATCTCTTCTTAGCAATATGGCATCCATTTTTGCCCTCTTTATCGATTGTTTGGTGGGAATCCATCACATGTAAACTTCAAGCAATTGTAGTTGGAATGGAATGTGGAAGTGCTTATGAGATTAAAACAATGGAATTATCATGCAATGGTAGTCGTATAAGTGCTATTTGTTTCGCCAATTTTGATGAAACAGAAGGAAGTTGTGGATCGTTTAGCAAGGGAAATTGTTCAAGTGAGCAAGATGTTGTTACTCTTGTTGAAAAAGAATGTATTGGTATTCCCAGTTTATTTTTATCCACATCGAAAAATCGATTTAAAAATATCGAATTATATCAAATCGAAGTAGAAAAAATCAAATTCAACCGAACTAGTTTGGTATAAACTATGGTGCGCACTTTTCTAAAATTGAATATCGAAAAACCAAATTAAAAATTGATTAAACCAAACCGAAGAACTGAACAGCCACCCTTAATCAAAAGTGATAAATTTTGATGAAATGAAAATTTTATAATATTTTATTAATTTAATGTTAATTTCACATTCACATTCAGATGTTGAAAACAAACAACATTAATTATCTAATGTTCAGATGTAGAGACTACATCTTAATATTCAGATGTGTAATCAGATCTAAACATCTAATGTCTATTTAGATTCAGATCTCTTAATCTTAATTAAAATAAATAAGGCCTAATTTAGAATCACATTATCAAAAGTCTTTTTTATTTTTTTTATAACTCTATTTTAAGTTAAACTAAATCATTTTTCGTGAAACGAAAGAAATATTTTTCATAAGAAAATTTGTTTTTATCTGAGGCGGGAGGAGAGGGGAGGGGTCCCTAAGGGGTGGTGGGGATAGGATAATCAATGGGTAAGGTATTGCGTGGGTGGGAGGATACGGTAAATATACGATTTCATTTTTAATAATTTTTCTGTTTTAATGTAAAAAAATTATTTTCTCATTTAAGGAACTTTATATATATATATAT